AAAATGGATAATTTGCCTGTTATTTGTGAATTTAACCTTTTTTTAATGGCAAGAATAAAAGTAGAATGGATTGTTTCTTAAGATGCTCATCTGTGCTTGTGGATACTGCGTGTTCTGGACAGGAGGACTAAGATCTCAGCGCACAGATAATTCATTAGAACCTCGGAACAGACGCGATTGCCTGGGGGCGAGGAAGACGGGGGTGGAGCATTAAGCGTAGTTACAGAGGCCACGTAAGATAGTTTCAGCATACAGCACGATAAGCAGCAGTACAGTCACGCATGGGCTACGTTATGCTCTCGCATGAAGAGTCTCTGGGCGTAAAGTCCAAATCTATCAAAACGTAGCCCACCAAGCCACTCTAACATCAAAACACAGGCGCCCCCGCCACAGCCCACTGCCAAGCGGGAGGCGGCGCCTGGGGACGCGCGTGCGCGCAGGATTACGCAAGCGCGCAGCTTTTGCGCAGGCGCACAACCGCCCGACGGCGTAGCTCCATATCTTCTTGCTGAAAGCGCTTTCCCAGAGGGTTGAGCAGTTTGTTTTGCACGATGTCGGAAATGGCTGAGCTGTGCGAACTGTACGAAGAGTGCAATGACCTGCAGATGGATGTGATGCTCGGCGAGGGTGACCTTCCGCAGATGGAGGTAGGCAGCGGGAGCCGAGACCCATCCCTGCGTCCCTCCCGCAACGGGGCCCAGCCGCAGCTCGAGGAGGAAGGCCCGATGGAGGAGGAGGCGGCGCAGCCAATGGCGGCGCCAGCGGGGAAGCGGGGCCTGCCTAACGGGCCCAGCCCTGGGGAGCAGCCAGGCCAGCTCGCGGGCCCAGACTTCGAGAGTGAGGACGAGGGCGAGGAATTTGATGACTGGGAGGACGACTACGACTATCCGGAGGAGGAGCAGCTGAGTGGTGCCGGCTACAGAGTCTCAGCGGCCCTTGAAGAAGCCAACAAGATGTTCCTGAGATCATCCAGAGCCAGAGAAGCAGCTCTGGATGGCGGGTTTCAGATGCATTATGAGAAGACCCCGTTCGACCAGTTGGCTTTTATCGAAGAGCTTTTTTCACTTATGGTTGTCAATCGTCTGACCGAAGAACTCGGCTGTGATGAAATTATTGATAGAGAGTAGTTAAATGCTGTTAAAAGAGGAGGAAACTACCTGAGGAGAGACCCAGCTTGCCACTATCTTTTGGGTTCATTCCATATAGTCCTGTGCCAATGAAAAACTAGATCTGCAAAAAAAA